CATGCTTCCTGTACAGCCTGCAGAGCCATAAGCCAATTAAACCTCTTTTCATTAGAAATTACTGAGATGCAGATATTGCTTTATAGAAATGCAAGAATTGCTTAATACAGAAAATTGGTAACAAAGAGTGGGGCACTGCTATAAAAATACCTGAAAATGTGGAAGGAACTTTGAAAGTGGGTGACGGGCAGAGGCTGGAAGAATTTGGCGAGCTCAGAAGAATACAGGATATAAGGGAAAGTTTGAAACTTCCTACAGACTGGTTAAATGATTGTGATCAAAATGCTGATAGTAATATTGAAAGTGAAATCCATGCTAAGACGTTCTCAGGTACAAATGAGGAACTTACTGGGAACCAGAGCAAAGATCATGCATGTTATGCCTTAGTAAAGAATTGGGCTGCATTTTGCTCCTGCCCTAGGGATTTGTGGAAAGTTGAACTTCAGAGTGGTTTAGGTATCGGATGTAAGAAATTCCATTTTTTTTTTTTTTCCTTTTCCAAAAATACAACAGAGTCTCACTCTGTTGTCGAGGCTGGAGTGCTGTGGTGCAGCCTCAGCTCACTGCAACCTCCGCCTCCCGGGTTCAAGCAATTCTCCTGTCTTGGCCTCCTGAGTAGCTGGGATTACAGGCGCCTGCCACCACGCCTAGCAAATTTTTTGTATTTTTAGTAGAGAAGGGGTTTCACCATGTTGGCCAGGCTGGTCTTGAACTCTTGACCTTGTGATCTGTCTGCCCTGGCCTCCCAAAGTGTTGGGATTACAGGCGTAAGCCACTGTGCTTAACCACAGTGGAATAAACTTCCAAGCAGAAAAGAATTCAAGATGTGCCCTGGCCTCTTCTAATTGCCTATGCTCCAATGTCATAGCAAAGAAATTTAAATTTAAACAGGAAGAAGAGCATAAAAGTTTGGAAAATTTGCAGCCTGACCGTGTGGCATAGAAGCAGCTTTTTTCAGAGAGGAACTCTAGCAGGCTGTGGAACAACCACTTGCTAGATAAATTTGCATAACTAAAAAGGAGTCAAGAGTTAATGTCTAAGACAATGAGGGAAGAACCATAAAGGCATTTCAGAGACTTTTGGCAGCCCTTCTCATCAGAGGCCTAGGAGGGAAGAATAGTTTTGAGGGCCAGGCCTAGGGCCCTGCTGTTCTGTGCAGCCTTGAGATACTGCTCCCTGCTTCCCTGCCACTCTGGCATCAGCCTCAGCTCAAAGGGGCCCAGGTACAGCTCGGGCCACAGCTCCAGAGAGTGCAACCTGTAAGTGTTGGAGACGTCAATGTGGTGTTAAGCCAGTGGGTGCACAGAGTGCAAGAGTTGAGGTTTGGTAGCCTCCGCCTAGATTTTAGAGTATTTACAGAAAAGCCTGGGTGTCCGGGTAGAAGACTTGCAGGGGCTGGCAGAATCCTTACACAGAGCCTCTGCTAAGGTGGTGCCAAGGAAAAATGTGGGGTTGGACCTTTTACACAGAGTCCCCAGTGGGGTACTACCTAGTGGAGTTGTGAGAAGAGGGTCACTTTTCTTCAGATTCAAGGATGGTAGATACGCCAGCAGCTTACATCTTGCACCTGGAAAAGCCACAGACACTCAATTCCAGCACCTGAGAGCAGCTGTGGGTGGTACACTCTGCACAGCCGCAGGGGCAGAGCTACCTAAGGCGCTGGGAGCCCACCCCTTGCACCAATGTGGCTTGGATGTGGGACATGGAGTCAAGAAGATTATTTTGGAGCTTTAAGATTGGGTTTCAAACTTGCTTGGGACCTATAGCCCCTTGGTTTTGGCTAATTTCTCCCATTTAGAATGGGAACATTTACCTAACAACTGTACCCCCATTATATCTTGGAAGTAAATGACTTGTTTTTGATTTTACAAGCTTATAGGTAGAAGGGACTTGCCTTGTCTCAAATGAGACTTTGCACTTTGGACTTTTGAGTTAATGCTGGAATGAATTAAGACTTTGGGGAACTATTAGAAAGGCATGATTGCATTTTGTAATTTTAAAAGGATATGATATTTGGGAGGGGCTAAGGGCAGACTGATAAAGATTAGATGTTTGTTCCCACCCAAATCTCATGTTGAATTGTAATCTCTAGTGCTGGATGTGGGACCTGGTGGGAGGTGTTTGGATCATGGGTCTGATTCCTTATGGCTTGCTGCTGTCTTTGTGATAGAGTTCTTACAATCATTTAAAACTGTGCCTCCCCCCATCCCCACCCTGGCCAACACATACACTTTGGCTCTGGCCATGTGATATGCCTGCTCCCCCTTCACCTTCTTCCATGATTAGAAGCTTCTTAAGGCCTTCCCAGAAGTGGAGTAGATGCTGGTACCATACCTCCTGTAAAACCTGCAGAACTGCGAGCCAATTAAAGCTCTTTTCTTTATAAATTACCAAGCTTCAGGTATTTCTTTATAGCAATGCAAGAATGGCCTAATACAATAATATGTAAGAAACACCCAAAACAAGGTTAAAGTCACTGATGTCACCTGGAGTGCCTCTGCAGGGCTAAGTAGAAGTTTAGCCCATTTGAACAGAAGTCTGATAGAACTTTCTGCAGTGACAAAAATGGTCTATGTCTGACTTGTTCATTACAGAAGCCGTTTACCACATGTGGCTGTTGAGCACTTGAAATATTGCTAGTGTGATTAGGAATTAAATTTTAATTAATTTAAATTTAAATAGCCACATGTGTCTAGTGGCTACCCTATTGGACATCACAGCTTTAGAAACCAGAAAAACATATTTCTTGTGCACGTATTTTGAGCCCTTGTACTCTTGAGTCTATATGTGTGGCTGCTCTCTCCACCATGCTATGAATTTCTCAGGAGGGGGACAAAGTGTTATGTCATTGTGAAGCCTTAATATGGGACTCGGGAGAGAAGATCAGAGTACATGTTAAATGGATTTGAATAGTAAAAAGAGAATAGGGAGATTAATGCTTGAAATAAGTAAAATGCATGAGCCTGTATTGCTCATTTTGCAAGATAGGAGAGGAGGTATTTTTAGTGTTTTCATGCATTGTCTGTTTGGAATACTAGACTAGATTCAAGGATTTCTTTTCTTATATTGCTGAGATTCCTTTTAAAGAGAAGCATCTAACATGTGAAAGAATAAAACTCTTAGTTAAGTTCCTAGGTATGTGACATGGATAACATGCCACTAAAGTATAGCACAGGATTTTGTAATCTATACACGCCGCAGGTATTCCAAGGGCTATGCTAGGTAACCCAGTAAATGAGAAGCATATAGGAGAGAGAAACCTAGAGCATAAATAAGTAAAACAAAAGGTATAATCAGTTCATTAAATAAAAAATGGGGGCTGAGAGTGATTAACGGAGAGGTTTTTTGATATAGCTGATTATAGAAAGTCTTTCTGAGATGGTGGAGTTTGACACCAAAAGGATAAGGAACTAGTTTAGAGAAGAGTGGGCGGTAGTACTGAACATGAGGTGGAAAAAGTGTGTGACAGAAGGATGGAGAGAGGATGGTGGAATCCAAAAGGCTGTCAGAGAAGATGGGCAGTGGCCAGGCCATGAGGGAGGTTATGGCTGTAAAGATCTTGATAGGGATGCTGGATTTTCATTCTATGTAAGTGGAAATCTGTTGAAGAATTTCAAGCAGGATGAGCTATTCTGGCTTAACTTTCTAAAAGGATCACTTTAACTGCTACAGGGAGTGTATTAGTGTATTCTCAGGCTGCTATAAAGAACTGCCTGAGACTGGGTAATTTATAAAGGAAAGAGGTTTAATTGACTCACATTTCTTGCTTTACTGGGAGGCCTCAGGAAACTTACAATCATGGCAGAAGGTGAAGGAGAAGTAGGTACCTTCTTCACAGGGTGACAGGAGAGAGTGAGTGAAAGCAGGGCAAATGCGAGATTTCCCTTATAAAACCATCAGATCTTGTGAGAACTCACTCACTCTCAAGAGAATAGAATGGGGGAAACTGCCCCATGATCCCATTACCTCCACCTGGTCCTGCCCTTGACTTGTGGGGATTATGGGGATTACAATTTGAGGTGAGATTTGGGTGGGGACACAGAACCAAACCATATCAGGGAGAATGGATTGAAGGGAGGAGAGAGTGGACTAGGAGGTGTGAGGTTGGAGGCTCTGGCAGTAGTCACATGAACTAGGAGGGTGGTTTGGGTGAGGATTGTAGCAGTGGTGGGCTAAGGGGTGAATAAATCTTGCAGATAAATTGGAGGTGGAAACTGTAGGACCTGTTGATGGATTGGATGTGGGATGTGAATGAAAAGGAGGAATTGAGAATAACATTTTTTTTTTTTTTTTTTTACTTGAGCAAATGGGCAGATAGTAGTGCTGTTAACTGCAGTGGAGGACATTGTTACTGGTTCGGTGAATTTTGGAGAAGAAAATAAAAATATTCCCCCCATCTTTTTTTTTTTTTTTTTCCTTGAGACAGAGTCTTACTCTGTCGTCCAGGCTGGAGTGCGGTGGTGCCATTTCGGCTCACTGCAACCTCCGCTTCCCGAGTTCAAGTGATTTTCCTGCCTCAGCCTCCGGAGCAGCTGGAATTACAGGCGCGCACCGCCATATCCGACCGCCGGGTGGCAGGGGCGGCAGGGAGGCGGCGCTGTGGGGCTGTAGGCGGGCGGAATCTGTGAGCGGCCTCTGCGCCTGCGCCTCGCGAGTGCTGGAGCCCATTTTGCCTGCCCGCTGAGGAGAGACTTGCGCGGCCCTTGCGGCCTACCGCTCGGGGGACAGCCCTTAAAGACGACATCTCCACGAACGCTGGCCTCTTGAGCGGGGGGAACGCTCTTTTGAAAGTGACTCCCCAGAACAGTTAAGGTTTTATTTTATTTCCAAGTCACAGCCCCCCACTCTCGTACAGCTCACCTGGACCACTTCTGGTTGCCGGCCCGCACCTCGTAACTTAGGTTTGAGTGACCTCGGCCCGGGATGCCCCTTCGCTCCCCCCGGGCTCATGTCTTGATCCTGTCTTGAGTGGCGCAGGGTGGGAGACCTGGAAGTTTTAGCCTCGCTGTTCTCAAGGCGGGTTAATTAGCCCTAGAAACTTTATATTCATTTTCTGCATATGCCGCCGAAGGATCCGTGCCAGAAGCAAGCCTGTGAGATACAGAAATGTTTACAAGCCAACAACTACGTGGAATCAAAGTGTCGGTCTGTCATCCAAGAACTGCGTAAGTGTTGTGCTCAGTATACGAAGGGAAGGTCTGTCGTCTGTTCAGGATTTGAAAAAGAAGAGGAAGAAAACCTAACACTGAAGTCTGCATCGAAGTCAAGCTCTGCTGAAGTGCTGCTCCATGTTTCCACAGAATGAATTTTTTTTTTATCTTCCTTTCTTCAGGCCAGGTAACAGCAAATGGCAAATGAAAAAGTCAGCTATAAAAGTTAATGAATATGCCATCTATGCAGAACAGGCAGAAATATAAACACATTAAAAGATAAATATGCAGAATGTAATAAACTGAGCTGCTAAAATAAACCTGTTTAAGAGAAAAAAATATACCCGACTGTATTTTTAGTAGAGATGGTGTTAGTAGAGATGGGGTTTTCACCATGTTGGTCAGCTCTGGATCTCCTGACCTTGTGTTCCACCTGCCTCTACCTCTCAAAGTGCTGGGATTACAGGCATGAGCCACCATGCCTGGCCCAAAATAACTTTTTTTAACATGTTAAGTTTGACATGTTTAAAAGAGTATCACAATTTGAGCATCATTATGAGTACATTGCCACACAAAGGTAACAATGAAATTTATTGAATCAAGAGAAGATCATGGATTTAATAATTAGGAGTGCTCTGACTAGAAGTAGTGACAAATATTTAGGGTGGGAACAAGTGATGAAAGGCCTGAAATGTGACCATAACGTCTTTTACCCATATATCGTTGGCAAATTAGTCTATATTTAAAATGAATAATTTAGTGCTTTCCTGAACTAATGATGTTTAACTGAGACTAAGAAACCTACTTACTAATATTTAATACATTCCAACAAGATACTTCCTTTTCTATGTTTCTTTTAATAGTGGACTTAAGTTTTGATTAGAGCACATACTATTATATATGTTTTTAAATCCATAGTTCTTTTACTATTTGTTCATCTAAAGGTCAAGAACTCTTGTTTCTTATGCTTTGTTTTTCGTGATTCCTGTTAACCTGGTTTTATTTTCATTTTATTTGGATATTTTATGCCTTTCAGTATGTCATAGCCAGAAAAAGACTAGCAGAATACTGGCCAGCTGTGGTGGCTCATACCTGTAATCCCAGCACTTTGGGAGGGTGAGTTGAGTGGATCACGAGGTCAGGAGATTGAGACCATCCTGGCCAACATGGTGAAACCCTGTCTCTACTAAAATAAAAAAATTAGCTGGGCGTGGTGCACGCCTGTAATCTCAGCTACCCTGGAGGCTGAGTCAGGGGAATTGCTTGAACCTGGGAGGCAGAGGTTGCAGTGAGAAGAGATCACACTACTGCACTCCAGCCTGAACAATACAGCAAGACTCTGTTTCAAAAAAAAAAAAAAAAAAAGGCTAGCAGAATACTGCGTTATCTAATATAAAAAGTGGGAATAAATGATTGTTTTTAAATATACAGTTTTCTTAAGAAGTATATTTCAAGAAAATATACATATTAGTGGTTGTATTTTGAAGGTTAGTAGATTTTACAGTCTGAACATTATTTATAATAGTTCCTGAATTCCCAGCCTGGCTCTATAATTTAGTGTAATTTTGGTGGATGGGCCATTGAATGGCATGTAGGTGTATGTTTGTCTTGCCCCATGGGGCATGCTAATTGCTTTGTCCTCCCTCCTAGAACTGTTCATTTTAAGTATTTAGTCACCTTGGTAAAGGTAGGTGAAAATTAAAGCTTAAAATAAGCTATAATTATATTCAGCATTGGTGATATATTACTCTGACAGAGGAATGTAAATTGGATCTAGATATTATATGGTATTAAAGCTGACCCTCCAAGTTTAAGGTATGAAATTTGTTAGTTTGTCACATGTGAGCAGTAATGTATTTTTTCTCATTTGAAGAAGCTTTGTATATTGATTTTAAACCACCTAGATTTCTGTTTCCCTAGACATTCATGTAAGATTATTCTTTTGGGTAATTAAAAATATTTTTCTTATTACAAAAAATGTAAGTTCATTATATGACAAGTAAATATGCAAAAGGAAAATCAAGAAAAATATATAATATTATCTACTTAAATAGACACTAACTTGGAGGAAGAGAGACAGACAGACAGACAGAGGGAGAGAGACTGTCTACAGAGAAAGTCTTCCTGTCTAATACCATCGGTTGGTTGGTTGGTTAAAAACATTTGTTAGCATGTAATCATCAAATAAATGATTCAAATATACCCCAAACATTTTTTTTATTCAATTAAAAGCATAATAATTCTTTCTCTAGATATTTCATGTGGAGCAGACCTTTTCTTGGAGTGTGCAAAGGCTGATTACATAAAACATACCCATAATGCATTGTCTTCCTGGTATTGGTGTTTTAAAGTAGAACAGGATTGTAAAGGCTCTGGCAAAGCAATCTGAGTACAGAACTACTCGTCTGTTAAAAAGAAAAAAAAAAAAAA